TCTCCCTCCATGAATTCTGTGCCATTTGATGGTCTTGGTAACTCCTCAATGAGGAGTTATATAAATGCTGATAAGACTGTGCCAGCTCCAGCAGTCTTCCCTCAAATTCATTCATTTTGAACTCGTGCAGCACACGCCAAGTTTAAAAATTCTGGAGGTGCGCGACAACGCAACGCGACAACACGCACCAGCACGCAAGGTGTGCGTTTACGTCATTTGTGGCATGCAAGCCTCGCGCACTCGCAACTGTGTCGAGCATAAACTAGGCTTAAGGTGGTAACCTACACTGTTTTATATTAGACTATCTTAGTCTTGGGTTTGCAATGATATCAAACGTGTTTGATACCAGTCAGAGGCAAGTAATTCTCTAGTCATGTCTTGAGATGTGTCACACGACTGCTGTATCCTTTCTTGCCTTCAGAGTCTTCTGGGTGACAAAATCAAGTTTCTCTAAACCAGGATAAGGACTGATCCTGGTTTATGAAACCAAGATTTGTTTACGCACAGACACAGAAGCAAGAAACTAAAAGAGAAAGAAAAAAAAATGGCGTACACAACATTGCAAACAGACTCAATGTTGGATTTACCACACATGCCCACAGATGACCTCAGCTTGATCTAAGATAATGGTATAAAATTCAGCAGCATTAAATTCTCAGATAGAACCCTGTCTATTAAGGAACAAAGTCTGTACAGAAAAAAGAGAGTGGATGAAAGTTCATTTTTAAACAAACAGGACATAAAAAACAGCAGATCAGTTAAATTCCAAATCAGTAAATGAAGACTGATGTGAGGCTCTCTTGTCTGTGTTTAGTTTTAAGACAAACAAATGTTTGGTCCTTTGTGCCCTAAATTGGTTTTAGGATAGACATGTTCAGTCCTTACTTGACTCTTATCGTGTTTTATTTTTATTTTTATTAAATTTTTGTATTGGGAGATGTTTGGTCCCTACTTGCCTCTGATTCGTTTCAGGATAGAGAGATGCTCGGTCCTTACTCATTTCTAATTTGTTTCAGGATAGAGATGTTTGCCTCTTGCGCATCTCGGCTGGTTTCAGCCCATTAAAAATCTGACCACAGGTTTTATGTGTGGCTCATGAATAAAAGATGGCGTCCCATTAAAGACGACCACAGCCTGTTTGTCTCTAACACGGGGGCACTCAAAGGAAGCTGTGGACACAATAGATAAGGACTCTTTCCCCAACCACGATGTCCTGATGAACTCAGGTCTGATCTAAAACACACACAGGTCTGACATCAACTCTGTCTGAAATGTAAAAACCGAGTAAAAGACTTATTGCACAATGACAAACCTCACACTCCTGCCTGATTGTTTATTCCAGAATCATTTTGTCTATTTGTTTTTCTTCATTTTCTCAGTTTATTTGTTTATTAATGCTTTTGTGAGTGTATAAGAACTGTTAAAGAATAGCCAGCCAGCATGAGTTTCAGAGGTCAGACAGTTTGAGGATAACTTCTGTAGATTTCAATACAACTCAGTTTCTCCGAGTCCTGAGCTATTAGCCATGGGGTTCCTCAGGGCTCTGTCCTGGGTCCTCTATTGTTTTTATTGTCCCTGGAGTCACTGAGTCAGTCGTGGAATTATTTTGAGATCAGTTTCTTTCACCCGAGCTGAGTTTTGGCCTCGTCTCTATTTACAGTTTTTCTCAATTGCTTTGGTGCATTTCTCACATCACTATCATTCTGATCTGAGAAATGCACCAAAGCGACTGAGCAAAACTGTAAACATGCTGGCAAAGCCTGAGGCTTCTGCAGAGCTGATGTTACCTTGCACTGCTACTGCAGCAGTAACTCTGCCAGAGGTGCCTGGATGGTCATGTGAAATACCATGGCGCCTTAGGAGGTTGTTGGAGGTTTGTTGTGTTGATGTGGTACTAAATTTGAGCTTTACATACTCTACAAACAGCAAGCAACTAATTAATAACATCTCCATCTCTGAAAAAAACAGTGTTTCCATACTTGTGAAAGCAACAGTGGTAGTAGTAGTGGTAGTAGAAGTAGTAGTAGTAGTCTGAATCCAGTATCGTTTAATGTCTTTATTATTAAAGGTTAAAAGAAAGAAAATAAAAAGAAAAAACACCTCCATGTAGAGTCTGTCGTATTTAAATCTGTTGTGTTATTTCCCGGTATTGATAAAATCTATTTATTACATTTTAAAACAATGTTAGATCGATACATGTAGTCTGGAAGGCCAACTTGCGGAGCACAGATCGATGTAGTTGGATCACAGGAATTTAAATCAATACATCAATGTAGTAGATGAATTGTTACACCCCTAGTATTTACAGTCTTCAAAGTTTTTTGTACCCTTGGTTTATATCCACCAGGACAATAAGGACAGAGTCTTCATCTGCAGCTGACAGGATAAAACTGAGCAGATCAATTTAATAAACATTATTCAATGATCATCTACAGGAAGTTTATCCAAACAAACAAATAAGATAAACAAGATAGAAACATTTTCTTTCATATGCAATAAAACTGATCTTGATGCAGTGTGTGTGTGTGTGTGGGTGTGTGTGTGTGTGCGTGCGTGCGCGCGCGCGCGCGCCACTGTCAGTGCATTGACTCGTCATCAGGGATCGATGGTTCCTCCATAATGTATTGTGGTCAGAGGTACATTAAGAGACATGACAGATACATCACAGTGATGTCATCAGGGGTGGTGCCATAGCCTCTGAGGAGGACACACACACACACACACACACACGATTAAATTAGTTTGACACCATCAGTCTGACTCAGTTTAAAATAATGAATCGTTGTCTGCAGGTGGAGGAACGTGTTTGTGTCGCATCCTAAAATAGTGCAGAAACAAAACCGTCAAGCTTTGAAAATGTTCCAACTGTGGTGAACACACACACACACACACACACACACACACACACACACACACACACACACACACACACACACACAGAGCGCAACTATGGTTGGAGTTTGTCAACATGCATAAATCACAGGTTAATCTGGCGGTGTCTGCAGAGGGCGATAGTTTAGCTCTTATTCTGGTTTTTACACTAAGAGGCTGAGCAACAAACCTTAACCAAGTAACTCAAACAACCATACTAAAATCATAACCACAACATAAAAATGTCAAATCTGCGAACAGACTTAACCAATGAAGCCAACTCTCAGCCTGGACTGGTTAACAAGGAGTTAGGGTTATTTGACTAGTTATTCAGTTGTTTAGATGTCTGTAGTTTAAAAGAGCAGTGCAGGCAGCGCTGCATTAAAAACGGACAGGACTCTGTAGTGGAAATCAGGGCATGGACTCTAAATCACTTTAACCAAAAACTGAACAACGCAAAGAGGAAACCAGATAGAAAAAACATTTCCCCCATAAATATCTATCTATCATTTCTCAAGAGGATGTCTAACTCTGTGTTACAGTGTGTTTGACCATGACTTAAATTCACGCTGGAATATCCCTTTAATTCAACCTCATGTTTTCAGACAGCTTCTGTTTAAAGGATTTCTTGACTCTGCAGGTCTGGCAGTAATCAGGCTTGGGTGTGGTTAGTGACATTGAACTGAGCTTTCCAAAAAATATGGATAACATAATGGTGGATAATTCATGATTTACAGTTTTTCTCAGTTTTTCTCTATTAACATTTGCACAGCAGTCAGTGCATTTCTGAGAACAATTAGCACAAACTGCAAAACCTAGTGGATAACCTGCACAAGCACATCACTTGCTTGAAAGGAATAGTTGATTCTTCAAAAGCAAGTATTCATGTCAATGAAAGTGTCAGTGTCATCAAAATAATTAGTCCCAACATCATTGATTATGAACACAACAGTCAAATGGCTTTGTCACGCTTTCACTATGACATTTAACTCTCTCTGTGTTTTCCAGCGCAAGAAAGTCAGATCTTGGTGACACTACCTGAAAATGTTTAATATAGCACTATGAACTACCTGTACAGCCATTTGAAAACTACAGTAAAGTTACACATTACCGTATTTAGTGAGGTAACTGAGTACAAGACACATGTATGTTTCACATATTTACTGCATATGCTCTTTGCAATTCTACAGCTTTGTGCAAAAAAAGTGTAGTGTAGCCCTAATTTCATCAGGGATTTGTCTATGTACTTCACCTCTTCTTCCTCTGCCCCTGTTTTGTCCCCTTCCCCTTCCTCCCCACATTCTCACCCCTCCTCCATTTTTGTGTCACAGAATTGTAGAAATGGTACACACTATGTCCTGCCTGGTTTAAATATGCCGGCCAAGTGAGGGTTTATGTTGATTTGGCACTGAGTGACTGTGGACAAGTGGCTTGTCATCGGTCACAACTAATGCTTCACACACCTCCTCATGAGTGAAAGCTGATGTTCACCTGAGAGCAATTGTTCAATTTAGGAGACATTTTCAGGACAAAAAAAAATGATTAAGAAATTTAGTAAATTTTCTTAACAGATTTTGAAAACTAGCTCAACAATTTTGTGTGTTATGACTCAAGCAATGAGATGAGAACTATTAGTTTTACAGGGAATGACTATTCAGCATTTAGAAGTATAGTTCATTTTGACTGACATTACCGAAGCAAATGATACTGTTATAAAACAGCAGAGAATTGTATGAAAGTAACTGACACGTCCAAGAGCATTTGCAATTTGTTCAGAGGAATGAGAAACTGCTACCACGATGCGCACAAATGACTCTCAATGTTGTGAACTTTCATTCTGATCTGAGAAATGCACCAAAGCAACTGAGAAAAACTGTAACATGAGGAGCAATTACTTTTTCCACATAGGACCAGGTTGGTTTGGATTGTCAATTCAAAACGGCATTTTGAATAGACTCGGGTTATCTCTGTTTGATATTTAAATTTGTTTGATGATCTAAAAAATGTGAGTGTGACAAAAAAAGCCAAAACAGATGAAATCTGTTAGGGGGCGCAGACTCTTTCACAGCTATTTACTGTTTTGGCATCAAATAAATATACAATTTGAATGCTTTTAAAACCATCAAGTTCAGTTTTTATCAATGCAAACTTGTGGCTGTAACAATCAATAATGAACTGATCCAAAACTGATCTGTAAAGGTAAGTAAGGTGAGTCTTTCACTCTCTCTTTTATTTCAAGGCTTTCAGTCTGAATTTAGCAGCTTCGCCTGAACTTTATCTGTGCAGACAGGTGTGTCACTTCCTCCTGTGGCCTGTAGGTGGAGCTGAAGGTCGAGGATGCTCTCTCTCACTCTCTCTCACACTCTCTCTGGTTGCATGGTTGCAGCAACAGCTCGCAGGAGGAGAGGAGAGAAGAGAAGAGGAGAAAGAGAGGTTGAGAGATGGAGGGATGACAGAAAAAGATGCAGAGAGAGAAGAAGAGGAGAAAGAGACCGGGTCTACTACACGCGCTCACCTCCCCTCATGTCTCACCTGGAACGTGTTCAGGATTTTAACCTCTCTGCTTTTCTGCACAGAGGGGTTTGTTAGAGGAGAGCCGTGACTGGCATCATCAACACATCTGACACACACACACACACACACACACACACACACACACACACACACACACACACACACACACACACACACACACACACACACACACTGATAGAAAAGGGGAATGTGTGTGTTGGACTCCTCTGTGAGGGAAAAGGTGAGAGCAGCGTCCACACTCCCACGCACGCGCGGAGCGGACTAACGGAGGATTTGAGCGTGAGAGGAGCTGCGACTGATCCGGATCCGGAGTCGTGACGGTATGGAGGGGCTCGGCGCGGGGCTCTGCGCGGGGCTCGGGGCCCGGCGGCCTGGCAGGATATGGTGCAGCTGGAGGGTCGTGTTCTTGCTCAGCAGCGTGTGTTTCCACGGGTACCTGAGCTCGCTGTTGGACTGCCCGCCCACCTGCTCATGCTCCCCCGCGGAGATCTTCTGTAACCGGTCGGACAGCAGCAGCTTGTTCCCGCTGCTTACCTTCCAGGGCTCCGGGAGCTCCAACAGCAGCCCGAGCATCGAGGACCTCTTCCAGAACATCTCCTCCATGTGAGTCTGCTGGTTAACGTGTCTCTGTGTTTCAGTGTGAGACTGTGAGAGTGTCTCACAATTCAGGCTGTGATCAGTTTCCAAGTGTGTGTGTTTATTTAGGGTTCATATTAGTATGCAGGATGATTTCATATTTCTGTGATAAAGTGAATCTTTGTGGAGCCAGTGGAGGCCTGACTAGTCTGACTGAAGTCTGAGTAGGTCTGAGGCTGTGGGGTCTCCTCAGAGTTGAACAGAAAACTGGCCAGAGAGAAGCTTTACAGACAGCACAGAGGAGCACAGGTCCACTGGAGGATTTGATAAAGATGAATACATATTAATAAACATTAATACACACCATAACCTATTCATATATAGAATATCTCAGATTGATATGTTTAATATTGACTAAGCCTTAGGTCAGAGGGACAGCAGACATAGAGCCTCACTGTTAGTCAACCTCACTGCATGCTTCTATTTTCTTTTATTTTGATTTACTTTATTTTTCTTGATTTGATTCGATTTCGTGAATAAATCAGTCACAGCGCCATGGTTACAGAGTGGCAGAGACTCCAACAGCTTCATGATGATCTCACCACTGCTTTATGATTTTTTATCAGAGATTTAAATAGAAAGAGTTCATTCAGAACAAACACATTATGTCATGGTGTTTACAGCTTATCATTTAGACTCCCAAGCTGAGCAGCGTGGTGGTGCAGTGGTTAGCTGTGTGACTGCACAGAAGAAATGTTCACGGTTTGAGCTCTGTTCGCTGTCCTCTACCACTGTCTAACCATATTCTGGTTAGGTTGGCTAGATTATTAGCTTGGTTTATTAGTTAGCTCAATTAACCCAAAGTAAGGTTCATTGATTTGGTTGACTTTAGACTGTGCCTGTCAGTGAGCTGACAATAATAACAATAATCCATCCATCCATTTTCTACTGCTTATCCCATTGAGGGGTCGCTGGGTGGCTGTAGCCTATCCCAGCATCTTGGGGCGTAGGCAGGGGACACCCTGGACAAGTCGGCAGTTCATCACAGGGCTGACATATAGACGAACAACCATCCACACTCATGCCTACAGGCAGTTTAAAGTGACCAATTAACCTAACCCCACTTTTGCATGTTTTGGGGATGTGGGAGGAAAGCGGATTACACAGATACAGGGTGAACATGTAAACTCCACACAGAAACGCCCTGACCCGGATTCGAGCCCAGGACCTTCTTGCTGTGAGGCGACAGTGCTAACCACTCCTACACTGTGCCGCCCATAATAACAACAACAATAATAATAATAATAATAAAAATAAAAATAATAGATGTTGTCAGTTCTATGTAATGTTGATCAGATTATTACGAACACAGAGTTAAGGGATGGACGGAGGGATGGATTAAGGGGTGTGGAGGTTAAAATAACCTGGCTAGAGCTGCAGATCTGGGGCGTCCCGCTGCGTGAGACAGAGAGCAGCTCAAACTAAACACACGAATATACAAAACATGACTCAGGGCCTTATAAACATAGAGTCTGAACCTCTAAAGACAGGTGTCCACTGAAAGAGCCCAAATACAAAGACAAAGATAGGCTTCATAGCGACATTTTTTTACTAATACTAATGACAAACAAACTTTTATTTTGGAGTTTTAGTTTTAACTCTTTTCACACAGACTGAAATCATCTCATCACACTCGGAGACTAACAGACGTGGGGGTCTGTCAGAGCTGAGGATAAGGTCTACAGGTTGGCATGTTTGGAGTGCACTGGTGTCTCACTGCTAAGCCCAAAATGAACAATGGTTTAATTCATTTAGGAGCTGTATGTGCAAATGCTGTTGCATGAAACATAGACCCCTGGATATCAGCAAGAAATAGGAATGATCTCAGAATAATTTTTCACCAAAGTGTCACTGATTTTTTGATGCACCCCTGCATATTAATAACAGTGTAACGATGCTATGCATTAAATAATAACCCTCCTGTTAGGTGAATAAAAATACATAAAATTAGTATGGTTTTAAAACAAACAAAGAACCAAAAAACAAATGACCCTTCTGACATAATTTTAAATGTTTAATTGTCTAATAAGTAATAATCATGTCAGTGTGTGTAATCAGGTCAGTGAGAGTAAGGTCACCTTCAGTCAAACATGAAAAAAAAGGTCCCTGTCCTCTTTCTCTGAACTCACTCATCAAATATTCAATAACATTAGTTACATTATAACCAATGTGACACACCACATCATGTCAGAAGGAGAGAGAGAGAGAGAGAGAGAGAGAGAGGGAGAGAGAGGGCATGTGTGTGTGTCTGTGTCAGTGTGGGTGTGTGAGTTGAACACAGCACCAATATAACATACATGCTGTAACTATAACTATGCTATGCAAAGACCCAGGAGCTGTCCACTCTGCTTGTCCACTCTGTCTTTGTCCTCTCTGTGTGGGTCCACTCCATGTTTGTCCCCTCTCTGTTTCCAGTCTCTGTGTCCACTGCCTGTGGTTGTCCACTCTGTGTGTGTCCCCTTTTCGTGTTTCATATCTGTGTTCACTCTGTGTTTGTTCACTCTGTTTGTCCACTCTTTGTGTGTGTACTCTGTGTCCACTCTGTTTGTCCACTTTGTTTGTCTCATGTAATTTTTTTTGTGTCCGCTCTGTGTCGAGTCCCTGTTTTCCACCCTGTTTTTTCCACTCTGTGTCCCCTCTGAATTTCACCAAACTGTTTCCTCAAGTATGTGTCTACTCTTTGTGATTGTCTACTCTGTGTCCACTCTGTGTGTCCACCCTTTGTGATTGTCCACTCTTTATGATTGTCCACTCTGTGTGTTTCCACTCTTTTTGTCTCATTTTAGTCCCCTCTTTGTCTCTCCATTCTGCATGTGTCCTCTCTCTGTGTTTGGCCCCTCTGTCTCTCCCTTTGTTTGTTTTTTTTTGTTGTATTTTTTATGTTATCATTGAATTGTGTGATTTATCTCCTTATATTTTCTGTATTTTGGGGTATGAACAGTCTTGTTGTTAAAACAGGAAGTTGGACACAGCGATGGCGTGTTGATCCACAGAGGGCAGAATCTGTTAATGAGACACATCAAGTCAGCTGATTGATGTCCATGATGGATGAGACGTCAATGTAAAAATGTTTCAGATTATGAAAATGAAAATCAGTCAATAAGCTCCTCAGTAATTCTGTCTGACTGTAAATGTCAATAACTGCCTGCATTATGGATCACACACACGCACGCACACACACACACATACACACACACACACACACACACACACACACACACACACACACACACACACACTATATCTTTATTTGAATGAGTGAACAATGAATTTGATGAGGATGCAGCTGTCAAAGCTCTGTATGAACACATCCATCATCAGCTGATTGGTCTTCACAGAGTTCAGGTTAGCTTTTACCGTGGCAACAAGAACGATTTCAAGCTCTCGTTAAGTAGAAAAAGTTCACAGACTGAGTGAACGAACAGAGACAAACCCAAAAAGGCTGTTTGACCTGTTAGAGTGAGGTCTGCAGTTACAACAAACCACCACAGAGGGCGCCAAACAGACCTACACTGTGATAGCTGGATCAAATAACCTAGTTAATGATGAATTTGTTTGATACTTTCTGACTTTTCTGACTCTTTTTATCAGTTTATTTTATTAAAGGGGAATAAAACTGAGGTTTTCAGGTTTTAATATGATCACAATCTCATCCTTTTTAGAAAATGATTTGATTCATTCCATACTATTAAAGTTTTCTGTAGATATGGTTGAGCTCATCAGTCTGCTCTATGGCAGCGGGCTGCAGTCTGACGGTATTTCTGTTTCTCATTGGAGGAGGAGGAGGATTTTGTAGTTTAGCAGTGAAAGCTTCGAGTCCGAGAGAGTGACTCACAGACTCTCCATTGGAGTTCATCTGAGAGACTTTAGTTTATAACTGTCTTTGTTAATCTGCTAGTCCTAAATAAACTCAGTGATAGTTCAGTTTGAGTTTGTTCTGTCTGCCATTGAGGAGAAGACGGAGGACACCCTGCTGAGACAGCTGTTTCGACCCAGTCACTCAGTTGTCATCTATTTAAGATACAAAACCCTCTAATGTGTCCTTACAGTTTGACCTGGTGTTCACTAACAGAGTGAACAGGACTTTTCAGAGTTATGTTCATTTCTTATCTGTGTCCATCATTCTTCACCATTATTATAAGACCAGCAAACATTCACTCTGGCTACCCTCCTGTTCTTTTTTTTCCCAGCATGCATCACTGCCTGCTCTCTCTCTTAACAGCTGAGTGTGGGAGGTTGCTGCACTGTTTCGGTTCTTTGTGTGTGCGTATGTGCGCAGATGTAGCATGTCTGCATCATGTATGATTGAAATGTGTTACCATGGAGATGTCTGCTGTCTCTTTATAAATCTCTGTTTCTGTGCCAACGTTCCTCTGTTCCTCTGTGTTTGATGTCATGGTGTTTGTTTATTTATCTGTTTATAAAGGTATGACAGAGAAAGAGTTTTTTTCAGATTGTTCTGTTTCTTTTAGTCCTACAGATCATGAACTTCACATCTTCAAATAACAACACATTTATCGTATGTGTCTCTGATATTGAAAATCATTTAAAGCAACAAAACGGGGAAATTACAAAAGGACAGGTACAGGTGAGCCTCAGAGCAGGTGGAGGGCTATACCTGTGTAAAAGTGGAGAGTCACACACCTTTGGTTTAAGCTCTAGGTTTAAGGTTCACACCCATATACTAAGGACTGTGAACTGTCTTTGTCTGCAGACACATTGAGAACTGGACGGGGCTGCAGACTCTGAGAGACATAGACATGGAGCTGTACTCCGGCCTACAGAGACTGTGAGTACACACACACTAACATTTACACACACTCACACGCACACCTGATCAGTCTTTTTCAACAGAATGATTAAGAATATTAACAGCTTAAATAAACGTGTCTTTCAGGACCATCACCAGGAGTAACCTGCGCGCCATACAGCCACGAGTCTTCTCCAAGAACCCAAACCTACGCTACATGTGAGTACACACACACACACACACACACACACATTGTATTCAGGCTGTCCTTTTGTCTGTGTTTGTCTTCTTTCAACAATGTCTCAGGTTGTGTCCATCTGTCAGAGACTAAACTCAGCCCCCTCTTTAGATCACAGAGTCATATCTTTCACTGAACTGTGGATGAATCAAACAGCTGTGTACGGTGACTGGTTGCCTGAACTAGCCCCCTCAGCAGAAACGTGCTGCTGATTCTTGGTGATTTGTTGTATTTTTTGGGGCCTTGTGCACATGTTTTTGAGCATTTGTGTTTCTTCCTAAGAATCGTTCAACTTGATGCCATTCTTCTGCCCTTATTTGCCTCTGTGGCTTTAAGACAGAGACAGTAAAAGTTTGTCTGAAGTAATTCTGATCATTCTAGCAACTTAAGTAAGAGCTAGAGGGACTTTCAGGAGCACAGCCAGGTGAGAGGTAAAAACTTCAGGCTGTGTTCAGCTTCAACAACATAAAACACACGTATCTTTGAAGGAAATTGTGGAGCTCTGGGTGTCTTAGTTTTATCACACCCTCTCTTTAAGAGGGTGGGGTTTATAAACACCTGTTTCAGCTGGTTGGATAAAACCTTTTGATGAAACATGGATGAAAAGTCCAACCAGGATGTTAGGGGAAGGTCCAGCCCTCCTTTGCCTCTGATTGGCTAGAAGTGCTGGGCTCTGATTGGTTATTCCTTATGGCTGTGAAACATCTGTTGGGTTAGGGTTAGGATTAGGGTAAGGGTTGGTGGTTCAGAAGTGCGATCGTGTTCTGTAATGTTCTGTTCAATATACAGAGCCGACAGCCCGCATTTGGCTTGAGCGTGTGATGACATTTCCTGCTTTTCTAGCCAGTCAGAGGAGAAGGAGGTGGGATCACGTCCTGGCAGGGTGTTGATGTTTCTCTTTAAACTAAAGCTTTGTCTCTGTCTTCCAGAAATCTGTCCAAGAATCCCATCACCTCACTGTCCTGGCAGATCTTTGAACACCTGCCGCTCTTTGAACTGTGAGTACACACACACACACACACACACACTCAGAGGGCTACTGTCCGTGGTGCTGAATCCTCCGGGCTCACTCTCTTCAGTTCATACCTGATATTCAAGACACCTGTTGGATTTAACCTGCTCACTTGCAGTGAATTCAGACATACTCAAGTGTCTCTTTGTGGGACCAACACGATTCACAGCCTGAAGGAGAGGAAAACAGCACCACACACTGGACTGAAACCATAATCATTAATTTCATTTTATGATTTTCTCGGTGAGCCAAGTGAAGTAAAAATCAGAGTCAGAGGAGGAGAAGGTAAACTTTTTAACTTCTCTCTGTCGACCTAAGTTTGGTTCATGCTGAAACTAAACGTTAAACACTTTCAGATTAATATTCAGCACAGATGTAACACACAGCAGCTGTCAGCAGTTCTTATTTATGTTTAATGTTCGCAGACATATTTAAAGTGAAAACTGCTCTGAGGGTGATTCATCTATGATAACACATCATAACATACAGAACGTCATAATACAGGATGAAACACTTAAATCAAAATGTTTTAATTTCACCCTGAGTGAGTACAGTCCTGTGGAAAATAATTAGCAGACTGACTTTATTTAAAAGTGTAGATATTACAAAAATCGAAATAATACTACTCTAGTAAACCAATGATACATGCAAATACACCAGTGATAAATTTTAATGAGATAAGAAATAGAAATTTAGATGTCAACATTGAAAATAAAACAAACAAACAAACAAACAAATGTTAAAGATGTAAACATCAATACAGCACATTAAAAGAGACGTTACAAAGTGCTTCACTTGAAACTCACAATATAGAAATAAAACAGGGAAAAAAACAACAACAAGACACATAAATAAAAGTGACAACAAAAATAGGATCAAATATAATCAATCATGGATCATTCTGAGCTCTGTGCAGATAAATAAAAAAATATCAACCTGTCCTGAGATTTCTGTCCTCCTCTGACTCTGACCATCTTCTCTGAGTGTCCGCCCGAGCTGCCCAACTCCATCCTGTCAAACCTTTTAAAATGTCATCAAAAATAAAACGCAGCCTCCATCAGTCAGAGTATTCAAATGTTGAAAACGTCCTCAAGAAGACATCTGGAAGTTTTTAGACAGAGTCAGTGTAGTTTGGGGACAGATGAATGAATCTGTCTTTTCCCAGTTTGGCACGCTACAGATTTATCCATAAAACCGCTGCACAGACAACTGAGGCCATTTTTAACTGGTTAAAAAAAGTAATATAGTCAAATTATTCTACATGCAAAATATCTGTATAAAATATGTCATCTATGTCAATCTAAGATATTACCATCATTATCAGAGCATCGCGCACACACACAAACACGCACAGACACTGTATGAAGCCGAAACTGCATGACATGATATGAAATGATGAAACAGCAGCATTAAAAATACATCTCCATCACTCACAGGATATTAGGTTTTAAGGTAGCCTATGACATATGCATGATAATAAATATATGTATGGTGATAGTCACTCTGTAGTCTCTGAAAACACTGGTGAACACTTCAGCATGCACTTTGACCAGCGCTGTCAAAGTTTTTACATCTTCTGCTGCTTGCTCTAGCAGGGATTCTGACTATATCAGATCCTCTGTGGTCTTAGCAAGCTGCTTATTCGTGTCATCAAGTTCTTTTTCTTTTTTGTAAAGAGTTTTATCAAGTCTTTGAATCTTGTCTTTGAGATCAAGATTTTCTTCATGACTTATCAGTGAGGGAAGCTTTGACGCTTCACATCTGGCACATCTTTTTCAGAGTGCTGTTTTCTTCTTTTTGCAACCTTTATCTTTGCTAAAGCGCATTCCAGCAAATATCTTTATACTCGAGCTGAGAAGACATCACGACAGGCATGCGTCTAGTGAGCTCTTTGTCACAAAGTGTCGTGGCTAAGGCTGTTTCCAGTAAGTCAGCCATTGCATCCTCCTGATTGGAGGGTTTGGCTTTTTGAATCATAGTCATGTACTGAGGTATCAGCTGACTAGTTAAGTTTATCAACACTGTGTGTATGTCCCTCAGGGGGTCTCCCTGGCTGGACTCTTTTTTTGTTAGGCATGTTTGGTTTTGGTGAAGAGGTGCAGGTGGTTGGTTGATGCGTTTGAGTTGACTTAAAATGAAAGGAAAAAGCAAAATATCAAATTAAGTGGATTTATCGACTTAATTTGTCAGTGCCTGATCAAGAGGAAAAGCCTATCTGAGTAGATATCTAATGGAGAGAAAAATAACAAAGTTAAATTCATTTCAATGAAAATTGAAAAAAGGTGAAATAATGTAAATTAAATTTGACATCAGAAATGGAACCATTGGACAAAAGGATTAATTTGTCTCTGTGTTGCAGAGATCAGCAAAGCTTAAATAAACTGCCTGGTGCAGTAGGATGAATTGGAAAAATCAATGAAATTGTCAATTTAAGGAATTAACTCTGAAGTTAATTCACAAATTGCAATAAATCCAAAGGTTCAACAAAATTACCAAAGGTGCAAAACTGCAGACAGCCAGCAGGTAGCTCCATATGTTTTAGCTTCATTGTGGAGAAGATGTGATGCCAATCTGGTCTTATTATATATTATTATGATCTTATTATACAATCTGGTCTTATTTTGAAAACACCTGAGGATGGATGAGTCAGGTAAAGGTGTGTGAGGTGATCACACTTGTTACAGATGGACAGGAAAGAAGTGAGTGTGACAACATGGCTGACATGTTATCTCTGATCTTCCCCTCACCCTGATCATTATCATTATTATTATTATTATTATTATTATTAGTAGTAGTAGTAGTAGTAGTAGTAGTATTGTTAACAGTGCTGATATCGGTCTGTGACTGAAAGAACTGATGTGTGAACCTGAAAATATGAATTAAAGAAAATAACAGCAGAGCTCTGAGTACAAACAGTTACATAAATACGATCCCTGAGCTCCATGATTCACTCTGTGTGTGTGTGTGTGTGTGTGTGTGTGTGTGTGTGTGTGTGTGTGTGTGTGTGTCTACAGTCACCTGGAGGAGGTGGTGTTCACCTGTGGCTGTGAGATTCGCTGGTTGCAGCTATGGCAACAGAGAGGTGAGGCAGGGCTTAGTGGCCAGCAGCTTTACTGCGCTTCTGACTCCATTAGGATCTCTCTGCAGGACATGAACATCAGCAACTGTGGTGAGACATACGCACACACTCACACATTCTCAGTACATAAGATATTTTCACTGACTTAAACCTAGTTTGTGTATTCAAAAATAACGCCGCATTTTAAAAATTGTAAGTGTTTGTATTGAGGTTTTAAAGCCTTGTTAGACCCCAGCAGCCTAAATTCTGCCCCTAGTGGTTATTTGCTTAAAAACAATACAAAAATACAAATAAGAGGCCTGCCCTGTAAATAAGATGCAGAAAAGACACGCTTTTATGCTCGTGGTCATAACAGTTCCTATCAATTAAAGCTAAGATGGTTGTGACAGTTATAATTAGTATAAATCAAACTGAGGTCGTCCTTGGCCTGAATCAGCAGAGAGACAATATTCAGACCAGACAGAGCAACATATCAGACCATTACACCAAAAAAATGATTTTTGCCCAATGACATGCTTCAAAGATTTCTATTTGATTTTTAGTTTGCATGAAATGGGTGAATGTTTAAACTCTCAACCCCCTTCTCTCTCCGCCCCCCAGACCTCCCTGAGATCAGTGTAAGTCACAGTAACCTCACTGTGGTCGAGGGTGATCGAGTTACGGCGATCTGTAACGGCTCAGGATCACCTTTACCTGAAGTGGACTGGCTTGTGAACGGCCTGCACTCCATCAGCGCACATGAGGTACACACACACACACACACACACACACACACACACACACACACACACACACACACACACACACACACATTAGGGGACTGATGACTGATGACTTATGGACTGAACATGCTATTAACCCCGCTGACACTTGGGTTTGTGCTCACACCTTACAGTCCAAGGCTTTTTTCCATTTATCCTAAAGGTTTCCATGGTAACCAATAAAACTAAACATCTCTGACTGTGACCACCATGTTTTTATCCATGCAGACCCAAAGTCTGACTGTACAGATGAGGACAGCTCTGGGCTCGGTCCATCAGTCTGTCTTTAGACTTCCTGTCATGGTTTCCCTGCTGCTGTGTTTCCCCTCTGCCTCTACACTGCCCTCTACTGCTCATCTCTCTAAATAATCATGGGTCCATGGAGTAAATCTGCAGCCTCACACAGAAAGAGAGTGAGGAACATAGAGGACAAAAAAAAAACTTGCTCAGCACAAACCATGTGCTGGTTTAGTGTCACAGAGAGCTGAGGGCTTCATCAGGCAGACGACCTCCATTTGGATGAGAGACCCTGCCTAAAGCACGCCACGATGTGTCAGAGACATGCTGAGACGTGTGCGTACAGCTGATTGGACACACTGAGTCTCTAAAAAATGCAGACAGACATCTGATCCAAGTCCAACATGCTGCACTGTGATGAACCATTGACAACACCAGGAAGAGTGTGGGGAATGGCGAGAAGACAGAGAATTGTTGCTAAGAACAGTCATTACCTGGCGAGTGATGTCAGTGATTATCATCGTTTTAATGTGCTCAGGTGAACCTCAGAGCTGTCAGTGTAAACTACAGCCATACAGTCTGTCACAGGTCTGCTGATCTCACAGTGTAACCAGCTGTCTGCAGGTGGCGCTCCTCACCTGTGGAGTTGTATGATTAGTGACACCTGAGACTCACTTAGTGATGTGTTGTGAAGGAAGCGTCACATGAGGATCATCTCCAGGACAGACTGAGCAGGACAGGAGACAATCACAGTCCGACTAGAGACTGAATAGAGCCCCTTCTGGCTCTCTCAGGTGCTTGCACAGGTACTAACAGGTTAGTTCAGCATACTGTCTGTCTCACCTGACGGCAGGTTAACTAACAGGTGAGCTGATCATCATCTCTTAGAACATCCCTATCATAGTAAACCACAGCATTAAAACATCAAGAGGGTCACCTCAGAGTTTCAAATAGAAGATCTGACAGACGCTACCTAAACAACGAGGCATTCAGGAACAGTAGGTTAAATCCATGAACACTCATCTAAATCTTTGTTTTTTATTCAAAGACGTTAAGTCACAATGAGTCTCAAAGAGATACAGAAAGTCATAAAGACTCATAAGGGTCATAAAAAGTTGAAAAGACTCTAAAAGAGTCATAAAGACTCTAAAAGTGTATAAGAAAGTCCAAGAGTCATTAGTGCCATAAAGAGTTAAAAAAGGTCTAAAAGAGTTATGAAGAGCTATTAAAAGTGATATTATTAAAAAGTTTAAAAGGGTTTTTTAAGGTTGTAAAAAGTCATAAAGACTTCCAAACAATCAAAAAGTCCTAAAGCAATAAAAGGTTTTGTGTTTGCATGTGTGTGTGTGTGTGTTTGTGTGTATACAGGCACAAGTGTATAACAACACAATCCACTCCATCAAAATCACACTGGTCAACGTCAGCAGAGATGACAACAACTTCCTGTTAACCTGCACTGCCACAAACGTGGTCGGCATGACCAATGCCTCAGTACAACTTACTGTGCACTGTGAGTACACACACACACACACACACACACACACACACACACACACACACACACACACACACACACACACACACACACACACACACACACACACACACAGTTGCGCAGAGACAGTTCTGTCCTCATGTCTGCAGAATAATATCACTGTTTGACAAAACTTATAAACTCTGTTTTCTCTTTGTGACAATATGTGACATGTATTTCCTCTCTCCTCTCTCCTGTGTCCTGTCTCCTGTGTCCTCTATTTTCTCTCCTTTCTCCTCTGTCCTCTCTCTTCTGTCCTCTCTCCTCTCTTCTGTGTCCTCTCTTTTCTCTCCTCTCTCCTTTGTCCTCTCTCTTCTGTCCTCTCTCCTGTGTCCTCTCTTTTCTCTCCTCTCTCCTCTGTCCTCTCTCCTTTATCTTCTATCCGTGTCTTCCTCCTCCCTTGTCCTCCTCTCCTCAGTCCCTCCCGTGATCATTCGGCTCAGAGAGCCTGAGCGTCGCCATGACACCTGTATTGAGTTTACGGTGCGAGGGTCGCCCCACCCATCCCTGCGCTGGTTCTACCAGGATGAGGTGCGTTTGATTTATCCCTCAGTATGTCTGTGAAAAGTTTATCTCCCTCCTGATTGGTCAGTGTTCAGTTTTCTGTAAATTGAGCGGACTGCGCACATTTATGGTCAATTTTTGGTCTGTGTGTCGACCTTAGTGATAGCAGGTGATGTTAACTCACCAGAAGCTGAAGATGGCGTGTGATGACAGTGAATGACCAAGCTACAAAATAAACTACAAAAACTGAAAAATAAATATTGCCCAACTTGTTCTCAGACTCTGGGCCTGATCTACTAAAGTTTGCTAGTACAAAAACATGCAAACTCGATAGTACATGCAAAGCTGATCTACTAACCGGGTGCACCGAGGATTGTGTCTGTCAAATTTTGCAAAACAGCATGCGCAATCCATTTAGCATGTTTGCCCTCATGAATATTTAAAATGTATGTCTTCCCCTGAGAGAGAGAAAGAGAAACTCTTCCCCCCTCAGAAATAAAAACAATGGAGTAATAGTAATGTAATGCCATTTTGGCGCGTCTCCCAGAATAGGTTTTCTGGTGTTCTGTCCCAAGTGTTGAATGCTATTGCTATGTCACACAGGATTGGCCAGTATATCCAGTTCCTATGCTCTTGGGACACAGTAAATGACACAAAACACGGCAGGTCTTGGTTGAGTCTTGGAGGCTGAGTGCTGGAGAGCTTTGGGTCTAAAAGCTTGTGATTTATTTCGATTTTTATTAAATTACAATTTTGATAAATAATGAGGTCAAACAAGAAACAGACAGAACAATGTATCTCTTTGTCTCATTGATTTAAAATTCTTTTAATTTCCTTTTTTTCATTTCAAATATATTTTGTTGCATCTGTAAAGCACTTTGAATTGCCTTGTGTATAAATGGTGTTATACAAAAAGCATGCCTTGCTTTTTACGCAGTTGCTGGCTTCCCCAAAACGATATGTGCAACTCCATGGCTTCAAACTTCATTTTTCGGCTACGACTACTCTGCTCTCACAAACTCTCCATGGTGACAGCTGGTAGCACACGCAAAATCCTTGTTTGAAGAGGGCGGTCCGCATCACCTTTGCACCTGTTATCAATTGGCATGCACTGATAGCAGATCACCCGCAACACAACCACTAAAAGCATGTGCAATTTTTTAATTTGCACACACAATTAGCGCCCCTTATTTGGGATGTTCAGGCCCTTAGGGTCAGGGCCGAATCAAGTTAGTCACTTAGTATGAGACTTAAGTGCAGCTCGAGTCCCAATTTGAGGCCCCATCTCTGGTTCACACTTACTTTCTGCTGTGTCATAGTATCATGGTGCTTTAATTTTTTTCTGCTGTGTCATAATATACCGCTGGTTTATTCTTTCTGAAGTGTTATGGTTTCATGTCTGTTAAATATTTTGAATGTCATGGTTTCATGCTGGTTTGATATTTTGAGATGTGTCATGATTTTATGCTGGGTTGTTGTTTTTTGCTTTGTCATGGTTCCCCCTCGGTTTACATGTAAACTAACCCGTGTCTTGTTTCTCTTTCAGGAGATCATGCACACAGAGTATGTGCGTCCTGACATGGATAGTTATCAGGATTACATCGAGGGTTGCCTCACTTTTAAAAACCCGACTCATCATAATAATGGGAACTACACTCTGGAGGCCACAAACTACTTAGGAGCTGCCAGCAGCACAGTGTACGGACACTTCCTAGATAAACCATTCGACGGTGGGTTCACAAAATGAAAACTTGCTTACTTTGAGTCATATGAGAGGATTTAATAGATTCAAATGTTTTAAGTTGTTTCGAGATAAGAATAAAACAGCTCAGCTTTACATTAACATGAAGGGTAGCTTGTTTGCTCACCTGTATAACCTGTAGCTCTCCTGTGTGACTTGTGGATCACTTGTATGAGTGCTGGTAACGTTGCAATTTCAGTATGACGGCCAAGCGACATGGACAGCTTGATCTGAGGGATAATGAATACAATAGTTATCTTTGTGCTTTAGCAACAATAAAATGGGTACACAACTGGTTTCCCACCATGTGCACTGTCATCAGAATGAAATATCTGTGCCAAACGATAAAATCCTCCAACCCTCCTGATTTTTTTCGTAATTTGACTACTGAGCTCACCTGTCTTGTTTTCTCTGCCCCTCTCAGGTTCTGATGGAGATTATGATTATGGTGAGTGTTTTTGCTTCTTAGGGGGTTAAATGACAGAACAGTGGCAGTCTGATGTTGCGATCACACCAAGCGCAACAAAAATCACCTACATGCTAAATTTGCGCATGTCTGGATGCACACATGTTGTATATTTTCTGGCTTGATTCGTGCAAATGACACTCTTAATTTGGGTGTTTGTATTGTGTCTGTAGAATATCCTAACATCCTAACACATGTGATTGCAAGAGAGGAGACAGAGAGAGAGAAGGGGTTCTCGCATGTCAAGTCTATTTACATCAAACATAGCAGATTTTAAACACATTGTAAGGATCTGTTGAGTTTAAACATCTTACCAGCTAATCAAACTTCCTCACTCTCTTTCCTCCAGCTGAGCTCTTTTTTACTTCTGTCTCAGGATCACAGAAAAGTTGTATTCTACAGCCCAGTTGGCTGCATGTAATTCACTTGCACGATGAATTTACTTGAGTTTGGTGTGAACACGACATAAGTTGATCTCTAACTCTGAGAATGAAGTGCTACCTCTGACACACAGAGGAATTATTACCTGTATAACCTGACTCAGATGGATTATTAGCTGTATTTATTATCTGACTCAGAAGAATGGTTTTAGAGATCTAAATATCTTTGTTTTTGTCTTTTAGTGACCCAGCCCACAGAGACCTTCCACAAGGAAGAAAACCCTGGGGTGAGTCTTCATCAGATATTACAGAACTTGGTGTAAATTATCTCAATTGAATTTAAACACATTTAAACATGCTTTCACTGATTAATGGTAGTTGTCTGCTCTGGGATAATAAAGAGGATCTTTGAATTGGTCCGACCAGCAGTTCCATGTTTTTTATGATCTCTGAGGTTAAGCTGATGAAAGTTTAGGCTGTCTGAAGATGTGTCAGAGCCTCAGTTTTTACTCATTATAAAAGTGTAGCTCTGAGTTTAATGACAAATATCACCCTCTATCCTTTCTTCTCCTTTCACTCTCCTACTCTCTCCTTCCTCCCTCTTCTCTCCTCTTCCCCCCTACTCTCTCCTTCCACCCTCCTCTCTCCTCGTACTCCCCTCTCCCTCCTGTTTCCTCTCTCCTCTCCCTCAGGTGTCCATCGCTGTGGGTCTGTCAGGCGTTGCCTGTGTGATGCTGGTAGTCTTCTTCCTGCTCTTTAACAAATATGGCCGCCGCTCAAAGTTTGGAATGAAGGGTAAGAAGATGTTGAGTTGTTTGTGTTTATTATTCTTGAATTTAGAATTTTGGTTTCTTTCTACTGTCTACATGACAGTAGGAAGATTTTGTGTGCAATCACAGCTGCTGGTGCATTTTAGCAGCTGCTACACACCGACTGCTGCTCTGACATTAACACATGTATTTATTATTAACAAACAGTGATCAGTGTTCATGCTAAAATACATTTATAGAGCACTGACATATGTGTCTGCACACCCACAGGGGCCTGTGTGCAAATATGTATGTACGTGTCAGTTTAACTATGAGAATAAAATGGTCTGAAGGAAACATAGTCAGGAAATTATACTGTACTGATATAAAAACAAAAACACTCACACACACCAGTCTTGGGGGTACACACAAAGAAACAGCAGATCAACCATCTGTTGATCAGATCCATCTGTTCACTTAGTGCTGTTCATATTACTGCCTGCAAGGCACACACACACACACACACGCACGCACGCACGCACACACACACACACACACACACATACAGATTAAAAGCACTGATATGAAGCTGAGACAAGGAGGGGTGATTTAATTTTGTTTCTATAAATCATCATTTTTTTAATCAGATAATTTCACTCCCTGCTGCCTGTCTGCCAAAATAGGGTTTTATTTACTTAGACAGTAGAGTGTGTGTGTGTGTATGGGTTTGTGTGTGTCCATAGGTTTGAGATGAAATAAAGGGGTCTAAAAACACAACATGAGACTTTATCAGTCATCTTGTCCAAAGAATAACAGAAAAAGACTGAGAGATCCAACAACAGGAGAAGAGAGAGAGGGAGGACCAGAGAGAGAGAGGACAAGAGAGAAGAAGGATGAGACAGAGAAAGAGAGATGATGATGATGAGAGAGAAGACGCTGATATTCCTGACCCTTTCTGAGAGTGTGACACAAACCATCTGTTGTTTGACTCAGAACACCCTGAACCCTCAGGGCTGCCCTTTTATTCTCTCTCTCTCTCTCTCTCTCTCTCTCTCTCTCTCTCTCTCTCCCTCTCTCTCTCTCTCTCTCTCACACACACACACACACACACACACACACACACACACACACACACACACACACACACACACACACACACACACACACACACACACACACACACACACACACACATATCTGTAGAATAAAAGTCACCTGACTTGATGTTATGGCTCTTAGTTGTTTTACTCAGGATTGTTTGTTCTGCAATTTCTTACATGTTTCCTGTTTTTCTGTCTGCTGTTCACTCTGCTGTCTGAGGGAGAAAGACTAACCAACATTTATTACAGCATAATTTCCAAACTCTCAAGTAGTTAGACGAAATATGAAGTAGTTAGAGAAACAACTAAACAGATAAAAAGTTGTGTAATATTAAGAAACAGCTGGAGGAACATCGCTCACTTCTGACGTGAATTTCCAACAGGTTTGTAACATGGCTGGGTATAAAAAAGGACATTTCAGAGAGGCTGAGTCTCTCAGAAGGAAAGATGGAAAGAGGTTCACCACTCTGTGAGAGACTGTGTGAGCTAATAGTTCAACAGTTTCAGAAAAATGTTCCAGAGTGTCAAATGTGAAAGAATGAGTGGATTTTGTCATCTACAGTCCATAATATCATTAAAAGATTTGGAGAATATGGAGAAATCTTTGTACTAAAGGGACAAGGACTAAAACCAAGACTGGTTTGCAGATCTGATGATATGGGGATTATCAGGTCCATTTCATGGGTATCTTCCACATCTGTAAAGGCTCCATTAATGCTGAACAATATCTACAGGTTTAGGAGCAACATCTGCTGACAGCTTGGCTCTGTAGTTAAAGAGTCCTGACTTGTCCCCCATTTAAAACATTTGAAGCAGGTTGGATTTAGCTGTTTGATCATTTAGAGGAGTGTTTAGAGTGTAATATGAATCAGACCAATCCAAGTGTCTGCTCTCAGTCCTGTTAAGAGTCAGGCGATCCTGTAGACTGGGGCTTTACCATTTACACAGCAGATTTGAGCTTTTCCACTAAAATAAAATCTGTTTAGCTAACTATTCATGAACTCTAAATCAGGATAACAGAACAAGTTTAGATCCCTTTCTCTAGTTACCCTTCGCTTGATCCTTTATCCTTAAGCACGAGTCTTATTAAAGTCTTGTTCTGCCTCTTATTTACTGATCTGAATATTTATTTCATTAAGTTTAGAGGGTTACTGGATGTTAGAGTCATTATGTTTCATTTCATTTACTGTATTTGTACCTTTAATGCATGTGACAAATAAATTAAATTAAATCAAACTGAATTATTCAGACAAATTATACATTTACAGTATCTCCGGGAAAAGAGGATGACCAAAAATATACTGACTAAAATATCAGAGAGGATGAGATGAGGCACACAGATATCTGCTAAGTACTAGTCAGTAAATGTCTGTGTCATGATGAATCAGTTTATATCAGTTTAATGGTTTCAGTCAGATTTATCAGCTCTAACATGTTTCTGATTCACCGGAGGAAAAAAGCTTTTAGAGAATTTAATCCAATGTAGACTTCCTGTTTCTATTTTAATACAGCAGCATACTCTCCTGTGTGTGTGTGTGTGTGTGTGTGTGTGTGTGTGTGTGTGTGTGTGTGTGTGTGTGTGTGTGTGTGTGTGTGTGTGTGTGTGTGTGTGTGTGTGTGTGTGACTGATCTAAACTCTGTATGAATGTTTTCTTCTCAAACCATCATTCACCTACAGGCAGATAAATTATTTCTGTATATTCATGAGGACTTGTTAAACACACACACACACACACAAATGTGTGTATTATTATTATTTTTATAACAAAGCACAATTTTAAATGAAACAGCGATTGAGACCGCAGATACATAGATTACAAACACCCACATACACATGTGCACTGAACTTGCTTCGATTTTGAGGGTATTTTCTTACATCCTTAATCTGGATATATTCCATGCGCACACAACTTTATATTTAAATGAACTTTGTCATTAAAGACCTCTTACAAACAAACAAAATCCATCCATAAATTCTGTAACTTAAGACAAGAGTGCCTTTGTCATTTAGACATCGAGAACATACGTCTGGGATACAGGGGTTACATTCTCATCAACCGTTTAATTTGAAGTAATTCCAATCTTGTTTTGATTGTTACGATTGTCCCACATATGTGTAAAGTTCAGCTAGTGTGGGCTCTTTAGTATGTACCACCAATATGCTTGTTAATAATTATATTTTTAAGAAAAGCGTTTCAGTGTTTCAGTATCTAAAAGTATGGATATGTACTTAATCGTGAATCTGGAATGAAGTATTGCTCATTGTTTACCCAGATTGTAGGTTTTTTTAAATGAAAATATTGTAATGCTGATGTCAGGTGGGCAGCTGTTTAATATCATCTGAGATCGGGGAGTTGAAGTCCTCCCCTCTCATAGGGCATATATGATAGTTTAAGGTGAAGCCTGGCCTTTCTATTACTCCAAATGAATTGACCAACTAACTTGTTGAGATTGTTGTGAAATGTATTTGGTAATGGAAATGGGAGTGCTTGAAAAAATAAAATTGTTCGAATGGTCGTTTTTATTATATTTATTTGTCCAATCATAGATACTGGTAAATTGGACCACTGATTTGGTGCCTCTCTCACTTCGTTAATCAGGTGGTCATAATTTGCTGGAACTATTTGTTGAAGTTCAGGTGTGATTTTGATACGTATTTGATAAGTATTTAAAACTGTCAGTGGTTTTCAGAAAAGAAGTATTAATGACAGGATTTTGTCTTTCTTCCTGACTGAGAAACATTATATTAATGTAGCATTATTGGTTGTAAAACCAAAGACCCCCCCCCCCCCCCAAAAAAAAAAAAAAAAAAAAAAATTCAATTAATCTTACCAAGTTTGGGAAAGGAAGACTATAATGTCATCTACAAAGATGATGTGGTGATCTATTGTAATACCTGTTTATCCTGAATGCGGTCTTACTCTTTTACACACAAGTGGTACAGAGTGATACAGAACTAAAATAGAATAGAACAGAATTGAGTAAAATAGAGCAATATAATAGAATTGAATAGAAAAGAAAAGAAAATAGTGGATTCGAATACTAAATAAAATAAGACATAATTGGGTAAAATATAGTGGAATAGAATCAAAAATGATAGAACATCAAGTGATCATGCTCTGATTTCATTCCATCTATACATTTTTTTATCTAAGTAGTCACAGGCAGATGTAGAAAAGAAAAAGACATTATCAGAGCAGCAGATCAGCTGTTCCTTTAAACAGGATTCTGACTGGTCAGCTGGTGAAGAAGCTTATCTTTGCTTTCTGTGTCCTCCTCTCAATAACTCTATGTCCCTTTCTGTTTTCTAATTCTCTCTCGCTCTGTTTCTGTCTGTCCATCAGGACCGGTGGCGGTTATCAGTGGGGAGGAAGACTCTGCGAGTCCTCTTCATCATGTGAACCACGGGATCATCAGTCCGTGCACATTGGACGGAGGAGCAGACGCTGTGGTGATCGGGATGACAAGGATCCCCGTCATCGAGAACCCACAATACTTCAGACATGTACCCAACTGTAACAAACCCACTACCTGTAAGAGTATACACACACACACACACACACACACATAGAGTGTGTAGCTGTAGTCTAATGTGACTGGGTCTTCATTTCCTCTCTTGGGGGGGGATTGGGGTCAATCAAACTCACAAACAAATCTGAGGTCCTCCCTCTGAGCTTGTTTTTCACCTGCAGGTTTTTTCTAGAGCTCACAGTCAGACCAAACATTACCCTTCTCCTCGACACTATGTGGAGGCAGTCACTGGCAGCAAAGGCAACAGTCCAAACCACATATTGCATGCAGTATAAAACAGTTGGACTTTGAAAAAGGAGATTTATCACCATGTGGTGAAGTATTGGATGACCTTCCAGAGTACTTATTTCGTGCCACTGCGCAGGGTAGTGCAGTCTGTGCAGTGGTAATTTAGAGCAGCGCATCCCTGTGAGCACCCAATTTGGTAAATTGGGGGACCAAGGTGCACCGAGAAGCGCCAAGATGGGCGTGGTAGCACAGTAGGAGAAGGGGTCGACAGGATCAGCTCGCGCATTGACAATTTTATGCCCGGCGGTGCAGAGATGGCGCCAAAAGCTCACAGATTCCAACCTGGTTAGCTTTCAGCGCAGGCGGAGCGCAGCTGGTCAAGTGGTAAATTGGTAAACTGGCACATCAGTGTGACACAGGACAGACGCTTATGTCTTCGGGGACATATTGAAACTTGACATCATAATGAGCTTTCTTACAAGCATTGCAATCGGCTACCGCACACATTTGTCCCACCATCGTCCTCTCTACTTCTAGGAGTGTGGCCTGCAGAACAGAGTCTGAACCTGCTGTTTTGGTCTGCCAGAGGTTGACAGCGATATGGATGCAGTAATACTCAGAAATGCAATTTTGCTCTTAGTTTTCTCAAGATATGTCATCTAGCACTAGAAAAATGGGTCTCTAGATCAGTCAGAATAAAGTTATAGAGATGGGATGGAGACAGAAATAAATAGTTTGATAATAGGTTTGATGTTAGATTGTCCTCAGGATGAGGACAGACGGGAGACCACAGACCTCTGATGAGTTTTATCATAATTCAGTACCTTTATTTTAACCCACAAACTCAGTCTGCTAGTGCAGAGAAAGGTCTGAAATGATGTTCAACAATCAGCTGACTGTGAGGATAATTAGATTTAAGTCAGTGTGTTTTATGGAGAAGGAAAAGAACCGGACAGAAAGACATCTTTAATGTTTTTAAACTGCTAACTTGAAGATGCTAACTGTCTTCCTTCTCTGACTCTCAGATGTTCAGCACATTAAGCGCAGAGACATCGTCCTGAAGAGAGAGCTTGGTGAAGGCGCATTCGGAAAGGTGTTTTTGGCCGAGTGTTATAATCTCAGCCCCACCAAGGACAAGATGCTGGTTGCAGTCAAGGTCAGTTCAAGGTCACAGGTCAAAGGCAGAGCTCTTCCTGTCTCACTGCTCCTTCGCCTTTTTTCACAGTGACCATTCAGTCTGTTTGAAATTGATCTGTGTGCTTTAAATCTAATTTTATATGAAAGAATATTAAAGACAGAAACGGTGAAAGGAAAACAGCAGCAGGTTTACTGAGGAGACTTCAGACCAGGAAGGGCAGACACCAGGAGGAACACAGAAAGAGAGAACAAGAGAGAGAGGGAGGAGAGTCTGCAGGAGGTCAACTTTGAGAGAAAAGCTGCAGTTTTTTAAACAAATCAAATCAAATCAAACTAGAAATAGAGCTGTGCAAACAGAAGAGAGTCAGTAGTCATGAGAAGAGGAGCTCTGAGAGGAAAGGGGCTGAGATGGAGATGCAGATGGATAAGGGGTTACCATGGTAACATCTCTGTTACAAAAAGGAATATGAGTGTTTTGTTCCACTATATTGAAGAGGACTATCTTTTCATAATAAGCAGCCATTGTCTTTGTCTCTTTGACCCACCTAAGCTCCTCTGATAGCAACAAACAACCAGACTGAAGCAGCAGAGGACAGAGACAATGATCAAGAGACAAGGAGATATTATAATGATGAAGGGAGACAGAGATAGCGCCCCATATTTGAGATCTTAGTAGATCAGGCCCTAAGAGTGGACTTCATTCACATTCATAAACTCACACTTTAACCTGTTGTGGGTTTTTTTGAACAGAGTGTATAAACCTTAAAAATGTGATCTTAACATTTAAACCCCCGTCTCTCTGTCTCTGTTTGTCCGTCAGACTCTGAAGGACCCAACTCTGGCAGCTAGGAAGGATTTCCAGCGAGAAGCGGAGCTGCTGACCAACCTGCAGCACGAACACATTGTTAAGTTTTATGGTGTGTGCGTGGACGGAGATCCGCTCATCATGGTGTTCGAGTACATGAAACACGGAGACCTTAACAAGTTCCTCAGGTCAGCCTCACTTTCCTCCATATCCTCTATCCTTCTTACCACCTTCTACCCCCCTCCTGCTTCTTCTTGTGATCTGAAGGTAACTCCCTGTTATCTGTTTTCCCTATTTCTGCCCACCTACTCTTCCTGCTACCTTTACAACCCGCCTCCACCCCAGATCCTCCTTTTTATGTTGTCTGATTTTACCTGAATCTCATGCACTGGCACTGATGCTGTTGTATTCTGATCTCTGGTGGTCTTTACTGTTGCTCTTCCTGGCTTGGCTTTTTATGTATGCACAAACAAAGACTTTGTCATTCTACATAAAAGGGCAGAGAGCTCCCAGAACTGACCCAAACCAACTATAAAATAAAAATTCACTTTGACTGAAATACTTTTGTTGATAAGGTAATAACAGTTTGTATTTTTCACCATCTTCAGTGGATGTAGATTGTCCCTTTTAGAAGAGCTGATGTGGGGCTGAGGCTGTGGTACTTGTTACAGTAGTTGCTATTTTAACTCTTAGCCATGATCCTTTGCTGCATGTTATCCCCCATCTTTCTACTCACTACAAGATATAATAACAAAGGTGATATTTCATCCTCCACAGCAGCACTGTGTTTGAGAGCAGAGAAATGTGAGCTCAGAGTCTGACCGCGGCAGAGCTTCATATAATGAGATCATGTGATCAGAGTTTATTTGTCAGCCTGATGTCTGCAGATTCAATCAGAGAGATCTAATTTACTCTGAATGAGTGAAAAGCTTCACTGTGTAATGAAATGAGGAGCTCTGTTATCTCTCCACTTCATTACAGCGCTCACACTGTTTATTATTCAAGCTTTTTCAAATCTTCTGACTGATCCAATAAACAGGATCGGAGCCCCTTCTTAACCAGTTACAGGTTAGTTTTACTCCATGGACATATATCTTTCAGGGTCGAGCTCGATGCGTAGAAATACAATGTTTCCCAGTATCTGGCACATAGCTGTAGTTTGTAGTTTCATTTTGTCATTATGAGCCAGAATGAGTCTGTCTGAATGGGTTTTATGAGCTGATAACAATTATTCATGATAAAAGCTGAATTTGCTGTGGCAGCAGAATCAGCACAACTTAGAAACAGACGGTAAATTTAAGTTGTTTTCACATTTGAAAATCAAAAATATCCACAAATGCTGTTAATTCACTGCAGCCTGTGTGACTACAGATAATGAGCGCTGAGATTTCCTGACTTCCCTGAATGTATCAGAAATCATGGATCTGACCTCTTTTTTTTTCTTTTGAGACATGAGACTACAGACAATTGAATTTCCTTCAGGAATCAATAAAGTTCTCCTCCTCCTTCTTGTTGTTGTTGTTGTTCTTCTTCTTCTTTAGACTCTCCACATACAGACTATTATGTCTCCAGATCAGTGTTTGTGTTTGTCTCCTCTGTCTAGTTACTGTTTTTTGTCTCCTCACCCTGATCCTCTTTGTGTCTCTGTCCTCAGAGCTCATGGGCCCGACGCCATGATCCTGGTGGACGGACAGCCTCTGCAGACAAACGGGGAGCTGGGTCTGTCTCAGATGCTGCACATTGCCAGTCAGATTGCAGGGGGGATGATCTATTTGGCATCTCAGCACTTTGTGCATCGTGACCTGGCCACCCGGAACTGTTTGGTGGGGAACGGCCTGCTGGTGAAGATCGGAGACTTTGGCATGTCCAGAGACATTTACAGCACAGACTACTACAGGGTGAGGAAATGGGTGTTATTTTATTATCTATCTATCAAGACGGAGAAACCCAAGTATAGTTTATATCATTAATGTCAAATAAAAGGGACCTGGGGTTTTCAGTTCATGGACGGCCAAAAAAACCAAAAAGTTAAACAGAAGAGAACAACAGAGAGAGATATCAGAGAAAACACTGATGGATGTAACTGATATAAATGATGGATGCAACCTGGATGAAATTGTTCAGGCTGAGATTTTAAGTCTTACTTACTGAAACTTACTGAAACTTACTGAACCAAACTTTCTGTTTGGTGTGTGTGTGTGTCGTCCAGGTTGGGGGTCACACAATGCTGCCTATCCGTTGGATGCCTCCAGAGAGCATCATGTACAGGAAGTTCACCACAGAGAGTGACGTGTGGAGCTTCGGGGTCATCCTGTGGGAGATCTTCACATACGGCAAACAGCCGTGGTTTCAACTTGCCAACAACGAGGTACACTCTGTTTTTTTTCTCTCTCACACCCTCCACCTCACTGTAATATTTGACTTAACCCCGTCAGGTGGTGATTGGCTGACTCCTGATGTTGTTATGTTTTTGGTTCAGACTGTGTTGTAATGTCGACTGAAGCCTCTCAGTCTGTATCTGCACATCATCTGTACTGTATCAAGCTTCGTCTCTGATTCGCACTCCTCCTCACAGCCTCTGCAGACAAACTCTGTGTTTCACTGTCTGTAAATCTGCTGTTTGAACAAATAAACTATGAAGGACTGCAGCTACTCATACTACTCAACATAATTACTAACAAACATAATTGACAGATTATTAAAGTTTACATCTGTATGAACAGAGTGAGAGTTGGGCGCTGATAGTTTTGCAGATTAAGCATGCCACTATAGGAGGTTATAATCTTTGTCACAGCAAAGTCCCTTAGCTGCATGCCTCCCCCTCTCTCTTCCTGTCTCTGTTCAACTGTCCCGTTTAAAAAAGGCAAAAATGCCCAAAAATAAAACTTAAAAAAACAAAAAGAAAGCAGACTTAAACTTCATATTTCCTGTGACCACCTCTGTGAGTTAACAAAGCTTTACTTCAGACACTCAGGACGTCATGTGGTGTTTACCTGTGTGTGTGTCTCTGTAGGTGATCGAGTGCATCACTCAGGGCCGGGTCCTAGAGCGGCCCAGACTGTGTCCCAAAGAAGTCTACGACATGATGCTGGGCTGCTGGCAGAGAGAGCCACAGCAGCGCCTGAACATTAAAGACATCCAGAAGATGCTGTTCACCCTCATGAAGTCCACACCTGTCTACCTGGACATACTGGGATAGACGGGGACAGGACAGAATGGACCTGTTTCAGGTGGAACTGGATGAGGACATGGATTGAATTACCCTGGAGCTACAGTCTGGACTCGTGTGGATTAGGACTTGACCCTGTATCTGACTTGGAGTCAAAGATTAGGACTGATATGAGGGTAAGGACTGATCTAATTGCAGACAGGACTGTAGTGATCTGGATCAGTCTGCACAGGGTGTCTTTAAGCTGGGTAGTCTGGTCTGGACTCATGTGGTACAGTCTCACCTGTTGGACAAAGCCATGACTAGGGACTGTATTTGGGGTGTGGGTTTTCAAAACTGGACTGACTTGGTCTGGTCTGGTTTGGTACCAGTGTTTCCTTACCTATGCATCTTCATTTCACCCTGAACTTGTTCAGAGCTGGTTCTGGTTCTGGTTGGGTATCAGTCCTAGTGGAGTCTGATCCAGCCTAGTAGGTTTGGACTGAGTTTAGCTTTAGTCCTCATTATCCTGCATCACACTGATCCCATCCTCATTTGTCTTATAGCAGTCTCTTTGCAAGTCCGGTCCAGGTTTAGATCAGTCTCACACAGCTAACCATGATGGACTGGAGCCATGTGAGATGAAGGTTCAGGGGGGTCTGCTGTAGTCTCACATGGAGAGCTTTTTGAGCCAAACTACATGTGACCCCTCGTGTAGACCACCATAGAGTTCATGTGAGTTATCCTGTATCATTCTGGACCGTGATGGCAACTCTCAAGAGCTAAACAGGTGAACATGAACCGTAGTCTTAGCAGTAGCACGAGGTTTAGGATTTCAGAGTGAAGCCTGGTCCATGTTTGTCTCCAGCTCAGTACTACTCTGACTGTCGAACCTGCAGGTTTCAGAGACTCATTTATCAACTACAATAATCTGAACCTGTCCGCTAACATTAGCTTCAGACTGCCATCTTTCTTACTGACGCTGAAGCTGCTTTGCTCAGAGTTTGTACCATTTTTAACTCAGTGTTTCATTTGAGGAACACTGACAGGTATACACGGCTAAATTCACTGATAGGATTCTGGCTGCTTGTTGCACTATGAATTGAGCAGATTCACAAACTGAAGTCTGCTGATATTGGAACTCAAACACGTCCTGGTGTAGAGTCCACGTACAGTGGATGAGCTGATGAAGAGGAAAGACACTTTAATGAAGGACGTTTCTGACAAATGTGACACAGATTCACTCTTCCTTCTGAAAATTTCTCTCTAAAGCAAAGCATCAGGAGCAGCTCATCCACATTAAAAAAATCACAACAGACTGTCTCCACATGTGGACTTAAAGTGCATACATGCTGAGTCTGAGCCTCAGACTGATTTAACCCTTAACTGTAATGGTAACCGTAATGTCAGTATGATATGAGCAGATTTTATGGGCAGATGTTTTATTGTGAACAGATGGAGAGCTTAAGCGTGACATACCTTGTAAACACTGTGGTGTAGTCTCCGTCAGTTTACCAGCTTGTGTTTTTAATTTAAATAATCTTTTTCATAATCTCTGAATGGTGGGCATTAATAATCTCTCATAAGACAGAAATCTGCTGCATGATGAGGCGGGGGAGGCTCTGCAGGTGTGTCTCACCTGAGCATCATCTGAACTGTTGAGATCAGAATTTAACTGATACAGACAAGAAAGAGGAGGCCGACCTGCTGAGGTACAGACTGACACATCTCAGACAGGTATCACTGAGCAGGTAGATGAGGTTGATGTTCGGGTCACATCATCACGGTCGACTGACATCACTCATTCAAACTCTTCATTCATACATTCAGGCAACGTGATAAACAGCCTGAGATCTTTAGTATTCACCCACTGACAGTCTTCATCCATCCATCCATCCATCCATCCATCCATCCATCCATCCCAGGTCCTTAATCTGTCACTCTCCACTGTCTCACCTGGTCCTGACCTCAGATGAGTCCAGACCCCGTGGTCCTGGTCCTGTAAGCATCTGGGTCATAAAGATGGACCGAAGTGCCTCCTTCTTATTTCTAAACTATGAGAACCACAAACTAAACTTTCAGATAAACAAAGAGCACTTTTACACTTTCTTTACCTGAACACAAGCTGCAGACGCTTTTTCTTACAGACCAACAGACAAATGAAAAGACAGAGAGACAAACAGACAGAAAAACAATCAAACAGACAGAATAACCGTCAGACAAAAAAACAAAACAAAAAGAGAGACAGACAAACAAACAAACAAACAAACAAACAAAAAACAAACAAACAAACACACAAACAAACAAACAAACAAACAAACAGATGACCAAATAGACAAACAAACAAATGGACACAATGACAAACAAACAGACAAACAGACAGACAGACAGACAAACAAACCAACAGACAGATGACCAAATAGACACACAAACAAATGGACATAATGACAAACAAACAGACAAACAAACAAAAAGAGAGACAAACAGACAGACAGATGAACAAACATATGGATAAACACACAAAAAACAAACAGACGAATGAACAAACAATCAGACAAACTAACAGTCTGACAAACAGATGAACAAACAGACACACAGACAGATTGACCAACAAACAAACCATCAGACAAACAGAGAGAAAAACCTACCTTCAGCACTCTGAATTGCAAAAACACAGAAACATGAACAAAGTGATCAAAATTGAAAATTAAAAAAAAAAAAGAGAAAACATAAAAAAAATAAAAAAACTTTTCTACCTTTCCTGATGGATGAGCGTTAGACTCTTGGAGGTGAAAATTTTTGGTTTTTGGATAGAATAATTTTTATATTTTTAATTTATTTTGTTTGTAAACAAAGGGTGGGTCTCTGCCACGCTTCAAAGCCATCAAAATTACCTGACACTGTCCTTTACACAAGTGAAACGGGTAACCTGGAGAAACACTGGGATCCTCGTCTTCTACAGGGTAGCCCTGATAACTCACCTGGATCAGGTGGTGAACAGCTGTTTGGACACAGACAGGATGAGGACAGAGCGTCCCGTGGACGGAGGGACAGTGTTTCAGGGTTACCTGTTAATGAATGTACATACTGTAAATCTGACAGACAGGTATTATTTAATCATCCTCCAGGTGTGCAGTTATACAGATGTGTTTAGTTTAAATGAAGGTAAATTAGACGTGGATGATTTCACCTTTAGTTGGTCATGTGACATGGTGTCTCAAAATGGACAGTATGGAGGACATCTGTGATGTTACAGAACAGAGACTACTGAACCGTTCAGAGTCCAAGTACTGAATCCACATGTAAAGTGATCCAAAATTAATCCATGTCAATCCAAATTACCAGGTTAATCCAGTTCACCAGTTTAACACCTAATACAGGTTAATCCAGATCTAAAAAGTACACTTCAAACCACACACTTTTCCAAAATCCACTCACACTGACAGATCCTCTGGTTTCAGATAATTCATGTGTATAAGGCTATTTGGTGAAATATTTAGAGTAATAATCTTCAGTTTTTCCACTAACCTGATTTTTCATTAATCTCTTGAACTTTAAACTTTTAGTCTCAGGTTCGTCCGCCTGTCAACTCGATCAGTGAGACCAGAATGTAAAACCACCCTCACAAGCTGACCATTTCTGTTTCTGTTTCTGAACATCTGTTTGTGAATACCTGTCAGTGAACATTTGTTCCTAAAAGTTTCTGAATGTCAATGAACGTCTGTTTCTGTTTGTTTCTGAGTGTCAGTTGTTGAAAGTCTGTTTCTGAAGGTTTGAGAGGTTAAGGAAAGCATCAGTGAGAGCAGCTTTATATAAACATTTATCACTGTAAGGGACAGTGACCATCACTGTGCTCCAAGTTTAGAGGACATTTTTAGGGCCTGTGTCCACTGACTGTGTTTCTGTGAATGCAGCCGCAGCTGTCTTAACAAACTCAAAAATATCTGAATCTTAACGCTTAGTAGGTTTAAGAGGGAGCAAAAGACACTGTCCTCACTCAAAGCAAAAGACACTGTCCTCAGCTTTAGGTAAGACACTGTCCTCTTTTTAAGGTAGAGACACTATCCTTAGTTTTAGTAAAGACACTGTCCTCACTCTGAGTTAAAGACACTGTTCTCAGTTTTGAGTGAAGACTCTGCCCTCTGTTTTAAGTAAAGACACTGAACTTTGTTTAAAGTAAGGTCACTGTCCTCAATTTCAAATAAAGACACGTCCTCAGTTTTAGGTAAAGACACTGTCCTCAGTCTGAGTTAATAACACTGTCCTCACTCTGAGTCAAAGACACTGTCTTCTGTTTTAGGTGAGGACACTGTCCTCAGTCTAAGATAAGGACAGTGTCCTCAGTGTAAGTCAAAGACACTGTCCTCAGTTTTAGGTAAAGACTCTGACTTTTAGTCAAAGACATTGTCCTCAGTTTTAGGTAAAGACATTGTGCTCAGTTTTTGGCAGAGACACTGTCATCTGTTTTAAGTATAGACACTGTCCGCTGTTTTAGGTAGGACACTGTCCTTACTTTGTGTAAAAGACACTTTCCTCACTCTTAGTCAAAGACACTGTCCTCACTCTGAGTCAAAGACAATGTTCTTACTTTTAGTCAAAGATACTGTTTTCACTTTGAGTTAAAGACACTTTTCTTTGTTTTAAGTAAAGATACTGTCCTCTTTTTTAAGTAAAGACAAACATTTAACCCACTGCTCTGACTGATGCACAGACGTCCTCAGAGCTGAATGTGCTAAACCCAGCCTTTAACTTTTTCTGTCTGTTATTGAACACTCAGATATTTGTAAAGATTTCTGTCTGTCCGTGCTCACAGTGTCATGTTTCTACTTTTCTAATCTACTGTTATTATTATTTAGAAGCATCATTGTCCCCTCTACATAAACCTGTCATTAACTGTTCTTATTATCATACTTATCTAATCTGACTGTCCCATATACTCATTTCTCTGTCTTGCATCATGTTTATATTCCATATTTAAAATGAATGTGTTATGGCAGCATTACACAAAGATTAGACCTCTCTCTCTCTCTCTCTCTCTCTCTCTCTATCGCTCTGTCTCTCTCTCTCTCTCTCTTTCTCTCTTTCTCTCTCTCTCTCGCTCTCTCTCTCTCTCTCTCCGTAGTGTGTTGTGTATCTGCCTCCATGCAGTCATGTAAACCTCCCTGTGTAATGGATACTTTAATCTTATAGACGGTGTTTGTAGAGAGCTGAGATGTGATGAACTTTGAGTGTGTGGTTCTAAATCATTAAAGTTTCTCCATCTTCAAACACTCCTCTCTACTTTCTTTACAGAAAAACTAAATAAAATCACCAACTGTAGGCTACTTCATTTACAACGGCTATAACATCAAGGTCAAGTGGCTATCAAGAATAAGTATCAACAGATTGTGATGTTTTGGAAACCATTAAAAGTCTAAACTTAGCTAATAACTGTGCAGAAATGTTATTGTCAAATGAAAGGAACTGTTTATTTTAAATTTACTGTCAGCACCAAAAAGAACTAGAAAGCCTGAGAGAACTTTAGTATTCACCCACTGACAGTCTTCATCCATCCATCCATCCATCCATCCATCCATCCATCCATCCCAGGTCCTTAATCTGTCACTCTCCACTGTCTCACCTGGTCCTGACCTCAGATGAGTCCAGACCCCGTGGTCCTGGTCCTGTAAGCATCTGGGTCATAAAGATGGACCGAAGTGCCTCCTTCTTATTTCTAAACTATGAGAACCACAAACTAAACTTTCAGATAAACAAAGAGCACTTTTACACTTTCTTTACCTGAACACAAGCTGCAGACGCTTTTTCTTACAGACCAACAGACAAATGAAAAGACAGAGAGACAAACAGACAGAAAAACAATCAAACAGACAGAATAACCGTCAGACAAAAAAACAAAACAAAAAGAGAGACAGACAAACAAACAAACAAACAAACAAACAAAAAACAAACAAACAAACACACAAACAAACAAACAAACAAACAAACAGATGACCAAATAGACAAACAAACAAATGGACACAATGACAAACAAACAGACAAACAGACAGACAGACAGACAAACAAACCAACAGACAGATGACCAAATAGACACACAAACAAATGGACATAATGACAAACAAACAGACAAACAAACAAAAAGAGAGACAAACAGACAGACAGATGAACAAACATATGGATAAACACACAAAAAACAAACAGACGAATGAACAAACAATCAGACAAACTAACAGTCTGACAAACAGATGAACAAACAGACACACAGACAGATTGACCAACAAACAAACCATCAGACAAACAGAGAGAAAAACCTACCTTCAGCACTCTGAATTGCAAAAACACAGAAACATGAACAAAGTGATCAAAATTGAAAATTAAAAAAAAAAAAAGAGAAAACATAAAAAAAATAAAAAAACTTTTCTACCTTTCCTGATGGATGAGCGTTAGACTCTTGGAGGTGAAAATTTTTGGTTTTTGGATAGAATAATTTTTATATTTTTAATTTATTTTGTTTGTAAACAAAGGGTGGGTCTCTGCCACGCTTCAAAGCCATCAAAATTACCTGACACTGTCCTTTACACAAGTGAAACGGGTAACCTGGAGAAACACTGGGATCCTCGTCTTCTACAGGGTAGCCCTGATAACTCACCTGGATCAGGTGGTGAACAGCTGTTTGGACACAGACAGGATGAGGACAGAGCGTCCCGTGGACGGAGGGACAGTGTTTCAGGGTTACCTGTTAATGAATGTACATACTGTAAATCTGACAGACAGGTATTATTTAATCATCCTCCAGGTGTGCAGTTATACAGATGTGTTTAGTTTAAATGAAGGTAAATTAGACGTGGATGATTTCACCTTTAGTTGGTCATGTGACATGGTGTCTCAAAATGGACAGTATGGAGGACATCTGTGATGTTACAGAACAGAGACTACTGAACCGTTCAGAGTCCAAGTACTGAATCCACATGTAAAGTGATCCAAAATTAATCCATGTCAATCCAAATTACCAGGTTAATCCAGTTCACCAGTTTAACACCTAATACAGGTTAATCCAGATCTAAAAAGTACACTTCAAACCACACACTTTTCCAAAATCCACTCACACTGACAGATCCTCTGGTTTCAGATAATTCATGTGTATAAGGCTATTTGGTGAAATATTTAGAGTAATAATCTTCAGTTTTTCCACTAACCTGATTTTTCATTAATCTCTTGAACTTTAAACTTTTAGTCTCAGGTTCGTCCGCCTGTCAACTCGATCAGTGAGACCAGAATGTAAAACCACCCTCACAAGCTGACCATTTCTGTTTCTGTTTCTGAACATCTGTTTGTGAATACCTGTCAGTGAACATTTGTTCCTAAAAGTTTCTGAATGTCAATGAACGTCTGTTTCTGTTTGTTTCTGAGTGTCAGTTGTTGAAAGTCTGTTTCTGAAGGTTTGAGAGGTTAAGGAAAGCATCAGTGAGAGCAGCTTTATATAAACATTTATCACTGTAAGGGACAGTGACCATCACTGTGCTCCAAGTTTAGAGGACATTTTTAGGGCCTGTGTCCACTGACTGTGTTTCTGTGAATGCAGCCGCAGCTGTCTTAACAAACTCAAAAATATCTGAATCTTAACGCTTAGTAGGTTTAAGAGGGAGCAAAAGACACTGTCCTCACTCAAAGCAAAAGACACTGTCCTCAGCTTTAGGTAAGACACTGTCCTCTTTTTAAGGTAGAGACACTATCCTTAGTTTTAGTAAAGACACTGTCCTCACTCTGAGTTAAAGACACTGTTCTCAGTTTTGAGTGAAGACTCTGCCCTCTGTTTTAAGTAAAGACACTGAACTTTGTTTAAAGTAAGGTCACTGTCCTCAATTTCAAATAAAGACACGTCCTCAGTTTTAGGTAAAGACACTGTCCTCAGTCTGAGTTAATAACACTGTCCTCACTCTGAGTCAAAGACACTGTCTTCTGTTTTAGGTGAGGACACTGTCCTCAGTCTAAGATAAGGACAGTGTCCTCAGTGTAAGTCAAAGACACTGTCCTCAGTTTTAGGTAAAGACTCTGACTTTTAGTCAAAGACATTGTCCTCAGTTTTAGGTAAAGACATTGTGCTCAGTTTTTGGCAGAGACACTGTCATCTGTTTTAAGTATAGACACTGTCCGCTGTTTTAGGTAGGACACTGTCCTTACTTTGTGTAAAAGACACTTTCCTCACTCTTAGTCAAAGACACTGTCCTCACTCTGAGTCAAAGACAATGTTCTTACTTTTAGTCAAAGATACTGTTTTCACTTTGAGTTAAAGACACTTTTCTTTGTTTTAAGTAAAGATACTGTCCTCTTTTTTAAGTAAAGACAAACATTTAACCCACTGCTCTGACTGATGCACAGACGTCCTCAGAGCTGAATGTGCTAAACCCAGCCTTTAACTTTTTCTGTCTGTTATTGAACACTCAGATATTTGTAAAGATTTCTGTCTGTCCGTGCTCACAGTGTCATGTTTCTACTTTTCTAATCTACTGTTATTATTATTTAGAAGCATCATTGTCCCCTCTACATAAACCTGTCATTAACTGTTCTTATTATCATACTTATCTAATCTGACTGTCCCATATACTCATTTCTCTGTCTTGCATCATGTTTATATTCCATATTTAAAATGAATGTGTTATGGCAGCATTACACAAAGATTAGACCTCTCTCTCTCTCTCTCTCTATCGCTCTGTCTCTCTCTCTCTCTCTTTCTCTCTTTCTCTCTCTCTCTCGCTCTCTCTCTCTCTCTCTCTCTCCGTAGTGTGTTGTGTATCTGCCTCCATGCAGTCATGTAAACCTCCCTGTGTAATGGATACTTTAATCTTATAGACGGTGTTTGTAGAGAGCTGAGATGTGATGAACTTTGAGTGTGTGGTTCTAAATCATTAAAGTTTCTCCATCTTCAAACACTCCTCTCTACTTTCTTTACAGAAAAACTAAATAAAATCACCAACTGTAGGCTACTTCATTTACAACGGCTATAACATCAAGGTCAAGTGGCTATCAAGAATAAGTATCAACAGATTGTGATGTTTTGGAAACCATTAAAAGTCTAAACTTAGCTAATAACTGTGCAGAAATGTTATTGTCAAATGAAAGGAACTGTTTATTTTAAATTTACTGTCAGCACCAAAAAGAACTAGAAAAGCACTCGGAGAGTGCAGACCTCCGCCAAGCATATATTGTGATTCACACCAAAATTTTCAGTGTTACGTGTCTTTTATTAACTTTTATTTGTGTTTAAACTGGTATGTTCACTGTTCATAATGTTCCTAAAACAAGAAATGCCCTGACCCAGATGCAAACCCAGGACCTTCTTGCTGTGAGGTGACAATGCTAACCACTACACCACTGTGCCGCCCATTGGTTATCTTTCAGCATTGAAAATTCCAATGACACCCTTATTTTTGAGTGTTCTGGATCACAGTATCCGGAATTTTGTCTGGATCAGGATCAACATTTGGCACCTTATAAAACTCATTGAGATCCTTTTGTGTAATTTTTTACTAAAGACTCGGGCCATTTTTATAGAGTTAAATGCAAAAATTCCCAAATTTGCCCTATCTCACAATGATAAAGAATCCTTCAAAAAATTCCTGGATCCAGAAGGCGATCCGGATCACCACCAAAATGTAATGGGATCGTCCTGGGGCTGAGACGCACCTCTGGTGAAAATTTCAGGTCAATCTGTTTGTAACTTTCTCTGTAAAGTTGCTAACAGACAAACCAACAAACCAACGCTACCGAAAACATAACCTCCTTGGCGGAGGTAATAATAACCAAACAGGTAAAAAGTTGTTAAAGAGGAATAACAGCTACATGTACACTGGTAGATAAGCAACATTTTAAATAATTTAGACAACTTTAAAATGAGTTTGGACTGGAAAATTGAGATTTATTCAAATACCTTCAATTAAGACACTATGAGACAGAAATTAAGAAGGAAATCTCATTGGGAGGGAATGATGTGATTGAGGTGTTGACAGTTGCTTTCAAGCAAACTCCTTCAAGAGTTGTCTCTAAACTGCAAACGGGTCTATTGAAACAACAGAGAAGAAATACAGTGTGCATTTTCATTTTCCTTTATCATTGTCGCCAAACGAGTTACAGACATCTGTGCCTCTATTTTAGATGTCTCACCATCACTGTGTCTCTCCATCTCTCACCCTCTGCTGCTGAGGTTGTGAGTGACAGCAGGCCTCAGTCAGGAGCGTTACAGTCACAGTTCAGAGAGGAGGAGGAGCTGTCAGCTGCTGTCAATAAACACTGACATTAAAAAGACCTGTTTTGTGCATCTGTTCATATTTTGTAGCTTTTTCACTAAGTGTGTTTAAAGGTCTCACAATACAGCACAAAACAAGTCACTAACCCTTCTGCCTGCTCCCCCATCATCTCCTTCTCAACCCTCAACCCACATGAGGATGATGAAGGTCTGTTAGCACCATGATCTGAAGATATAAACCCTGGTGGTACAATCACACACACACACACACACACACACACACTGTGTAATGGATCCTGGATCATGATCAGTATTCAGCTGGGTGCCTCTATCAGCTCAGTCAGTGATGAAGAGGAGCACAGGATGAGGGTTTATCCTGATATCGCTCCTCTCCTAGGGTAACAGCGTCCTCACAGCTCCTCAGACTAAAATCTAACTGACAGTCGAGAGAGAGAGAGAGAGAAAGGGAGAGTCTCAAGTCACAATTATTTGCTCAAAATTTATTCATGGACATAAAAAACAAAGTCCCCAAAAACATTCAAATAAATTAAATTACAAAAACTACATTAACTCAGAACTTAATTAGGTATGCCTAATCAATCGCTTGTCAACACAAATAGCTAATCAGCCAATCATGAGAGAAATTCAATGTGTCTCAGCATGTAGAGGTGGTCAAGAGGACTTTCTTAAGTCCAAATCGAGCATCAGAACAGGGAAGAAAGGGGATTTTGAACATGGCATGGTTGTTGGTGCGAGATGGGCTGTTCAGAGAGTTTCATAAACTGCTGATCTACTGGGATTTTCATATCTAGGGTTTACAGAGGATGGTCTGAAACAGAGAAAATTTCCAGAGTGCAGCAGTTGTGTGGTAGAAAATGTCTTGTTGATGTTAGAAGTAAGTGGAGAACGGGCAGACTGGTTTCGAGATGATAGAAAGCCAACAGGAAGTCAAATAACCACTCATTACAACCAAATTATGCAGAATACTATTTCTGAGCAAACAACAGGTCGGACCTTGAAGCAGACTGACAACAGCAGTGGACGATCACAATGAGTGACCCTACCATCAGCTAAGAACAGGAAACTGAGGCTACAGTTCACACAGGCTTACCAGAACTGGACTATAGAAGACTGGATGAAAGCATGGATCAATTCTGCTGGTGCTGCTGGTGGTCTAATGTTGTAGGGGATGCTTTCTCTGCACACGTTAGGCCCCTTAGTACCAAATATGCATCGTTTAGACCCAACAGCCAACCTGAGTATTGTTGCTGACCACATCCATCCCTTTATGACCTCAGTGTACCGATCTTCTGATATGGCGACTTTGATTATTTTTTCTTTATAATGTCAGATTTTTGACAAAACTATAGAACCACCAGAAAGGGTGGACTCCACGTATGATAAAAACTTGTCTCTCAGTGTGTGTGTGTGTGTGTGTGTTTTCCCCCCTCTGTGAGGTCCTCAGTGAGGTCCCTCAGCAGATCACCTTCACTCTGAGGTCAGTCTACAGTTTCTTACGTTTCACTGAGTTCAGCCTTATCAGCTTTCACTCCAACTGTCTCTGTCCCTGTGAAAAGACACTCTGCCTTTAGAGTAAACACAACCTGACTTACTGTTGTTTTTAAACCCTGAACTGATCATTGAAATCATGGAAAAATATTACCTGTGTCCATACAATAGGGGATGCAGGATTTGTTGTAAGGATGGATGCTCTAAAACAATGAGATGTCTTTGAAGCTGCATCGGAAATGTGGCCATGAAGGACCTTCTGGTGGACCTCAAAAAGGTGGGGACCAGCTTCAGCCTCATCAGTAGGCCTGGGCAAATTTGAACATATCTGATTCCGATTCTGATTCCTAATTTCGATTCCGGTTCCCAACGATTTTGGAGACATATTATGTGAGACAACAGACAATTGAATTTCCCTTTGGGGATTAATAAAGTTATTCTTATTCTTATTCTCTAGTTTGATTCTTTAAAAAAGCAGGATTAAAAAAGTGCATGGTTTAAATGAGGGCGCTAAACAAGGTTCTTTTTGGGTGAAATGTCTGAACTTCTCCATGAAGTTTTAAATGATATGAACCTTTTACGAACTTTACTATAAATCTTGCACACACTACAAAGTCAGACCTGATGGTTTGAAAAAAACAAACCAGGTTTATTAAATCAGACACCCCTCTTTCACAGACACGGTGGTGTCTGATGAGAAAAAGGAAAAAAAAAAACAAAGTTTAAATCTGCTGAAGTGTCTCTGAGCAAACAGTCTGGACCTGATAACACGGTATAACTTTATAAGCTACTTCATATCCATATCTGTGTCAGCGGGGTGAGACAGGACTGCATTAACATGACTCACTGCGCCCCTGGGTGATCGTTCTTACTGTAGGCAGAAGAGCTCTCAGACTACTAAATAATTCACTGCTCACAAATCACAGCACAGATTTCAGACCACATGCTCCAGTTTCAGATTTTATTTTGTTAAAAACATGATACAGGAGATCTGGCCTCAGAGGAGCTGCCCCCTCTCTTCTGCCTGCCCCCAGACCCTCACCCATCCCTCCCTTATTCCTCCCCCGACCATCCGTCTGTCTGTTCACTCCTTCGCCATGTGCGGGTACAGTAATGTGATACCTGAAGTCTCACGCATGTTGTTCAGTGTATGTAGACCTCACGCATACACCTTCACACACGCATACACAGACTTACCCTGAAACATCTCCAAACACACTCTGATACGGTTGAGAAATCCTTCCTCTGTCCAGAGACTCTGATAGCTGTTCAGGTGGTACCTCTGACTCCATCAGTGTGTTAACAGGTTTATCACTTTATCAGCCTGTCCGACTCACCGACACGATCTCACATTAAGCTGGGTGCAGGAGGATGGAAGTGGTCCAGAATCAAACCATCTCAGGTGTGTGACACTGATATTTTAACTGAGATTTTAAGTTTCTTTATGGGACAGACTTGGATGATAGTTTTGGGTGTTTTCCACATGGGTCCACTGAGTGGGTCACTGTCCACCGCCATCACATCCCTTTTTTTCAGTGGGGCTGACACCAAAGAGCTCCAGCTGACCCAGCTGTGTGTAGATTATTAAATGCTGGTAAAGGTGCAGACTGTTAACCAGGGGGAAACAACAAGATGGAGATTTCAGCTCTTTAGAGGTGCGGTCTGAACCTGGAATAAGCTGGTACCACCCAGGTAAAGACTTTTGATGGGGCTAACTAGGATTTATGTTTAGATTAAGAGGCAGTGGGACTGTTGTACTGGTTGGCATGAAATCTGTAAATTAGCATTTATTTTGGAAGAGTTTTTAGTTTGGACTCACGGGTAGACAGGGTTTCTACTTCCTCCACAGCTGTTGTTGTATTTAAACATGTAGAATTTAAGCTAACCCTGGAGTCAGAGGTTACTTGTTATCTTAGTATACAGATGACACCATGCTGCTGAGGAACAACAGATCTAAGTACACCAAACTATTCAAGAACCTCCTCAGGATGTATGAAATGCATCTGGAACATTCATTATCCATCATGCTCTGAACCTCTTTCCTTAGGCTCTATTTTCGCGCCTCGCCGGCGGCGTGGCATAAGCGCAGCATAAGTCAAGTCTGCCGCGCCGGCAAGGCATGCCCAAGCACACTTTGGTATTATGGTGAGCGGCGCAGCCCGGCGTTAGTATCCTCCCCTCCCTAACTCAGCTCCTCCCAGTGGCGTAAGTAGCATAGAGGGAGGGGATAAGGCGTGGAGTGGGTTTAACTGTTTTCACCAATCACATCAGCTCCCCTCCTCACCTTTAAATCCGCCACCAGCGAGGCATATTACAATTTTCATGAAGTACTCAAAGAGATCAAAAGATGGCTAAAGACAGTAATGCCACACGATGGCGACGGTAGGCAGCCCCTCAACAAGTGTCACGGTAAGCGCTGCAGAGGGCGTCCTGCACACTCTCTCATATAAGTAGAGAGGGATTTGGTGTGTGTAATGTTGTACCCACTGGTAAGACAAACACCCTTTTCACAAATAAAGACACTCACATCAAGTTGCATTTTTAAACATAAGCATATTTAAACCCC